AAGTTTTTCGGAAAGAATTTCTATGGAAAATTAACAAACGATCAGAAGCGTAACAATAGATTAGCATTAGATGACTTTAACATGTAGAATATTTAATGCTTTATACACTATACAATCGGTGTCTTTATGGAGTCAACTCCTATCTTACATATGAAATGAAGGAATAAAAAAACATATAACATTAACTTTCATTACACACATTCATAGAATACATCCACTAACTTTCAGTCAGGGGGAAAAACGTCACAAAACAAGTAATAAAAACATTTTGTACATGTAAAACTGTGTAGAGATGGCAGTGCCAAAGAGAATGCAAACAGTAATATACGGATGATAACTCTATACATAAATCATCCCTACACAACTTTCAATGCTAAAATTGAATATTACACTGTAAAATGTACACTTGACTTTAATATTACTGCAGTTGGAAGTTATATATTCCTGACTGTTGGTATGCAATTTATTTATCATAATATCATGGTCATTTCAGGGTAGTCATCAATGTAGTGTAACTAAGAGCCTAGGACTTTAATGCGTACAAGAAAAACCAGATTGAGTAAAAACATGTCTTGATTAGCAACAGATTCATTCAATAGGAAGTGAAGTTTAATGGTGAACAGTAGAACCACGACAGCAACAACGAACATTTGATACGTGCGTGTCATTTAATTCTTGAATATAAATAAACTCCCAAGTTGAAAGAATAACACAGCTTCACTAGAGTTAAGTCTGTTCTGAACACTTGTATAATATTGTAATAATTGTTGCACTATCCTAGTCTTTATTGTTTATTTGGTTGTCTTTTAATTTACTTCATCTTTTCATTCTGTATTTTAACTACTTTTTATAAAATGTTTAAACTTTATAATATTTTGTACCTAATATTTTACCCTGTTCAATATAGCTTGCTGAAGATGAAATATGTATATTCCAAAACGTTCAAGAATTAAATGTTTGTTACTGTACACACTCGTGTCAAATGTTCGTTGATGTTTGGATTATTACAAATTCTCGCTACGAGGTCGGTCTTTCGATTCATCCCATTTCAACAACGTAAACGACCATATCGATAACAATCCTAACATCTTCCCATATAGTTCCCTGTATCCATAACGCAAAACAACCAACCTTTGAACTTATTCACGCATCAAATATCATTAACTAAAATAAAAATATATTTAAAGAAGATTAAACGCAAAGCACCTGGGGAAGATGGTATAAACAATGTGTCATTAAACACCTTTCTGATCCCTTGTTAGAACATCTAGTAGTAATATACAAGTTATCTTTACAATCAGGATATTATCCAACAATATGGAAGTCAGCATACATTAAAGTTCACTGCAAGAAAAAGAATGATCTAAGTAACCCCGGCAACTACAGTCCTATTAACTTACTTAACACTCTAGGAAAGTTAATTGAAGAAATGATAACAAGATTCTAAACGACAACCAAAATGCTGGTAGGAGAAACAAACAGACTTCATATCACCTCGTTAGACTAACAGAATAAATCTATCAAGGTGTTAACAAAAAATCATACAGCCTTCCTGGATGTGCAGAAATCATTTGACTCTGTGTGGTATAATGGCTTGCGTTTCAAATTACACAACATTGGTATACCTACCCTAACTGTACATTGAGTGTCAAGTTTTCTCACTAACCATACCGCTAAAGTCTAGATCAGGGGTCACCAAACTTGTTACACAGCGGGCTAGATAACTGAGAGAATGACGAGCGCGGGCCGCATAACCATTTTGTTCAATACAATAGAGTGAATACACAAAAAATAAAGACAACAAACATGTTTATTTTCCAAAAAGTTATCAAAGAAGGCGACGTTAGCATT